TATTTTATAATATTATTATAAATTGTATATATACAATTTAATACATTTCAATAAATCACATTCACACGACATGCAGGCAAACAAATAAAATACTTAATTCTAATAATGAACTATGCATTAGATGTAAGTGTGTGCGTGTGTATGTCACTCACCTGTGCAGTGCGTGCCGTTGCCACGGTAACCGCGCTGACACACACACCTGTAACTGCCCAGTGTGTTCTCACACTCGCCTCGGCCGACACACACATGCTGCTCCTCCACACACTCGTCCACATCTGAGAAACAACATCATCATCTGTTCATTGCATCTCTCTTTAGTTGAATTACACACTCTTACAGGATTTACAACAAAAATCCATCAGGTAATGCAGGTAAATTCAGCAAAAATTCATCCGGTAATGCAGGTAAATTCAGCAAAAATCCATCAGGTAATGCAGGTAAATTCAGCATGCAGTAAGTCATGAGCAAACATAAGTGAGCTTTCAGAGAGATGAAACTCAAAAGGATGAGCTCAGCAACTACCTTCACATATAAGAAAACCTGGACACTGAGCACCTGAGAGACAGACAGACAGATTAAATCAAGCCGCTGGTTAACAACAGCCAAAGCTTTACACTGCACATGAACACCAGCATGCAACTGAATCAATGACATGACATCTTCTCAGATATTACTGCATTAATGGATATCAATTGAAAATGCATTCAAAAATGGCATTCAAACTTTGCATAATTCCAATGTTAAATATTTTTATTGCACAATTTTGTGGCAAAAAAGTAAAACATGTTAACAAAGTCCTGAGAATGAAGAAAACATCTCATCTCATCTCATCTCATTTTTAGAGTCATCAAATAAAACCTTTTCTTGAAAACAGTATAAATGTTTTCAAAAACATATGAACTAACAGGAAAACATTTAATTTCTAATAACTAAGCAGCAGGGTTATTACTGTAAATTATACTAACCAAAACTAAAACCATAAAACAATTTTGTTACTTAGAAATAAAATAAACTTTAACTGAAATGAAATATTTATATTATAAATGAACTATTAAATTATTTTATTTAATCTAGTTGCCAATGAAACATTTCTCATTTTTAGATAAACTAGATGTACTAAAATAACTTAAATCAAAACTTAAATAAAAATTAATGAAGAACTACATTAAAAAAACTAATAAAATCTAATAAAAATGACAAAAACATACTACTAATTTACTAAAACTTTAACTAAAATGAAAAAAATGTACAGAAAATATGGAAATACAAACAAAATCTAAATTATTAATAAAAACTCGATACTAAAGTAACCCTGCGTAGCACATGCATGTAAAGTAGATTTTTAAAAGATTTCTCTTTATCATAACATCTGTCGCTCTCGCTCGACTCTACGTTCAGACACAGAGCGAATGATAAAGCAGCGCAAGATATACGGGTTAATACTACGATCACAGACAGACAGACAGACAGAGACACACAGACAGACAGAGACACACACACAGACAGACAGACAGACAGACAGAGACACACAGAGACAGAGACAGACAGACAGACAGACAGACAGAGACACACAGAGACAGAGACAGACAGACAGACAGACAGAGACACACAGAGACAGAGACAGACAGACAGAGACACACAGAGACACAGACAGACAGACACACAGACAGACAGACAGACAGACAGACAGACAGACACACACACAGACACACATAAGACACTCCTTTAATGATTATTTTAAATTTCAGTGATTAATAGCACTGGCCTGCATCATATTTGCGGAAACCCAACACTTGTTTCTTATTAATTTTGAGTGCTGAATTCAAAAGTAGTGTCTGTTTTGCTGGAGCTAGTATTCTCCCGTCATCAGCAGAAACACTGCTTCAAGCAGCGCTCTCACCTCGCAAGCGGCCGTCGAAGTGTGGGTTGGTGGCCACTTTGAGGCCGGGGTGCGGCAGCAGGAAGCAGCTGATGCTGGAGAAGCAGGAGTGGATGTGCTTCCTGACGTTCTGCAGCTCTTCGTGCTGATTCTGTTTGACCTGAGAATCACGGCATGAATCAGCACACGTGATGATAAGAGCAGGAGAAACCAGATTCCTGCGGCGTCACGTGACCCACCTGCAGCCTCTTCTCCAGGAACTTATTTCCTCCATCCAGACCGTAAGCGTGTTCGTACGGGTAACTCCAGTCTCGAATGAGAAACATCAGCGACTGCAGACCAACACAGACACACGGCATCACTGCAGCGTCTCACACACGCGCACGCACACAAGACACACTCTCACACACACACACACACACACACACACACACACACGAGCTGAAAAAGCAGAAGCACATATTATAATACGGAGAGTATTTGCACACTTGAGTCACTTCATTCTGTTTCTAATGCAGTGACATGACAACATCTCAAAAGATTCCTGACACAGTGAGAGACGCACAGAACAGGTGTGACATGCTGAAGATCTAGTGCTGTACACCTGTGACTGCTGTTCATCAGAAATATGTAAACAGATGTGACACACAGCATGATCCTGCAGATGCTGAACTTGTAATTTGACACAGTGTCCTACAATTCAGCTCTCGCAAAGACACTTTTAAACAGAAGCTAACTAAAACTTCAACTAAAGAAAACAACAAAATAAACTGAAATAATACATTTCAGCTAATTGCCAAGGCAACATTCATTATATATACGTAGACGTCTGTAAAAAACAAAAAAACTACCAAAAAAGACAACAAAATTACAAAAAATTTCAAAAAAAGATTCAAAATATACAAATAAATCAAAAGTGATTCAAAACATTAAAAACTATAACAGCATCTCAGTTCTGCTAAAATTAATGGCATCGATCAGATGTGTGTGAACACAGACCAGCAGTCACATCGTTATTTACAGCAGATGATCCCAATTAAAATTAGCCATTTAGAGCCACATGACAAACTTAAATGCTAAAATAATGCACTATTCATACTGATGATCATTTCACCAGCACCTGTGAAGAATAAATCAGTGCTCCTCTATTTGATACTTTGACATTCAGCCGTTTTAAGTGTGTTTTTCTGTCACGTCTCACCTGAAGATGCTGCAGATCGTCTTCTTGAACGTTTTGGGACAAGTTATAGACCTGCGCATAAAAACAGGAGCATCAGGACACTGCATGCTCTCTTAGCGACGCACACGTGACGCGTGTCGTACCTGTACGGAGCTGGTCATGGTGCTGAGGGCGAACAGTGTGGCGCAGTCTTTGACGGTGGACTGACTGTCAAACGCTCCCTGCGTGTCCAGAAGCAGCACAGCCACCTGCGGACACACACACGGTCACGGGTAACTGAGCCAGAACACGCCTGACCGCACACACACACACACACACACACACACACGGAGCAGCTCGAGGCACAGAATGAGTGAAAATCGAAAAACTGTCTGCTACAGCCAAAAGAGCACAATCTACTGTTGTAGGTAAAAAATAAGAAATAAAAATAAATAAATTGCTAAATAAATATTCATATTAACAATAAATAATAAATATTGATAATTAATCAATTTTAAATAAATAATCAATAATAAACAATAAATAGTAATACATACTAAATGTAAAATATAAATTAATAAAACAATTTTAAAAATATTTAATAAACAAACAAATAATAATCAATACATAATACAAATAATCAAATTATAAATAATAATAAATAACCAATAAACTAAAAATAAATGATCAATAAATAGTAATGCATTGTACATAAATTTTACAAAAATAAGAATAATAAATAAAATAATGATTAATAATAAACAAATATTTAATAAAATAATAAATAATATTAATACTCAATAACTGACAAATAATAATAATAATTAATGAGTAATAAATATCAATAAGCAATAAATAAAATAAATAAAAAAAATATCAATAAATATTAAATATAAAGCTAATTAAATCATAAAAATTTAGAATTAACAGAGTTTAAAAATTTAAATTTGAATAAAACACTTACTAAAAAAAGATGAAATATTTTTGACTGCAATGTGCGTTTAACTGCATGTAACGTTACCATATCTGATATCAGATATCGACTGTGAATGTGTGGTTAAAATATTGAAATATGTGTCCCTGCAGCACAAAAGCAGTCTTGATTATTTATTCAGCTTTCAGATGATGTATAAGTCTCAATTTCGTAAAATTGACCCTTATGACTGGTTTTGTGCTCCAGGGTCACATATTAGCTTAAAATGACTGTGACTTCAAGACAATATTTCAGCTCAAAGGGGTTCGACTGATGAGTTGCTGATGAGAATATTGTCCGAAGGCGGTGTGATGCGGCTGAGCTTTACCCTGCTGCCGTCTGGTTTCTCCACCACAAACACGTGGCTCCAGGCCTGAATGCCGGTGGTCTCGCGCTCACAGCCGCCCCTCCAGGTGAAGCCCGTCAGCGGCTCGTTGTTCCCACCCAGCCACGCGTCTGAGTCCTGAGACAGACACACAGCATCACAGCTCGCTTCATTGTGTGGGTCTCTCAGCTGATGTGTCCTGTATGTTCAGTCTAAACTCAACAGCACTCTCAACAGCAAAACAAGAGTTTCAGAGCAACACAAAACATCAGTGTTTCACAGTAAAGCGGCTGTGATGGATAGTGAATGGCAATCCGAACCAGAACACATGACAAACCTGAACGCTGCAGTTCCACACTGCTGTCAGATCAGCTCATTGTGTGCGAGCGTCTTTATTTCATGTGCAATTATATGCATATATTGTAATCTCACACAAAGATTTTGTGCGCCGATTCACAAAAGGCCAACATTTATAATAAAGTCAACATTCTCGGTGTTAAAATTATTAGACTTTTTTTTTTTTAATTCCATTTAAATTAAATTTATTACATTAAGAAAATATTTTATTTTTCTTATGTCTGCAAAAGTTCTGTAATAATAATAATAATAATAATAATAATAATGTTTATTCATCAAGGCTGCATTAAATTGCTCAAAAGTGACGGTAAAGAGATTTATAATGTTACAAATTATTTCTATTTCAAATAAATGCTGTTCTTCTGATCTTTCTATTCATCTGTGAATCCTGAAAAATAAAATGCATCAGTTTCCACAAACATATTGTGCAGCACAACTGTTGATAATAATCAGAAATGTTTCTAATAATCAGCATATTAGAATGATTTCTGAAGTATTTTTGATCAGATAAACGCAGCCGTGGCAGGTTTCTCTGTGAAGATGAAGAAGCTCTGACCTGGCTGTACATGTATCTGAGCATGAAGTCCAGCAGGAAGGACTTGCCCTTGCGGAAGGCTCCAGCTACAGACACCACCACCACATGGAGATCCCTCACACGCTCCTGCAGCAGGATCTGCTCCAGCGCCTCCTCGTCCAGAGAGAACTGGTGATGCTCCTCGTCTGCGATGACGATCTGCACGGCTCCAGACGCCTCCGGATCAGAGCAGCTCATCTCCACCCCAGAGACCCCTGCCACAGACAACCACAAAACCAGCACAAAACATCTAGATTTTTAATGCTGTATTATTCAGTATAAAGTGCTTTTCACATGTGCATCAAGTGTGACAAATGTTAATTCGACCATTTTTATATTCCAGCCCGTTGCTATGTCATGCGTCCAAAATTACAACATTTACAAGACTTTACTTTAATTGTAACCAAAATGCATTATAATAAAGGATTTCTTATATAAATATATAATGCATGACAACGTACATTATGAATACCTTTATAATGCATTATACTTCGAGTAAAGTGTTACCCAAAATTCCTTTTTTTTTTTTTCCAGATACATTTGACAAATGTTTTGAACTAGACTATATATTAATTATATTGGTTGCTAAGGAATTTTTGAGAAAATGTGACTGTCAGACTCGGCCGGTACATTACATTTAGAAAACATTAGGTGCATCTTACAGGACAAAATGTTGTTATTTGACAAAATCTGGTTCTATTTTATTTCTTTTCTTAATGACTATAATGTTTTTTTTATGTCTTCATTTTCTAATTTTACTTTTTTATAGAACTGTTGGAGTTTTTGGGTGGAGTTTTCTGTCTGGTTTGTCATTTATTTTTATTTGTACTAATAAAAATATTTATTATATTATGTAGTTATTTTATTAATATTGTTTATTTATTTTACTTTTTAAAAATTACAATATTTTTTCTATTTTCTCTATTTTAATTTCTTCGTGCAATTATTACTTTTATGCGAATATTTGTTTCATGCATTTTTGTTATAAAGTAAGTTTTGTGTGTTTTTGCATTAAAAAAAAAAACGTGCATTTACAAATCATTCTCTACTAAAAGTCCAAATAAAATCAGTTTAACACAAAAACATCTTGAATCGACTGATTAACCTGACAAGGATTTGACAGGTGAAGCCGGTTATTAAAGGGGTCATATGATGTGATTTAAAGTTTTGCTTTCTCTTTGGAGTGTTACAAGCTGATTGTGCATAGATAAGATCCCTGAAGTTGCAAAGACTAAAGTCTCAAAACCAAAGAGATATTCTTTATCAAAGTTAAGACTCTGCCACGCCCCCCTAAAACGGCTCGTTCTAACACGCCCCCACATATCTACCTCACTATGTGGAAATATTAGCACAATGCGGCCCAAATGTGCACGAGGACCTACAATAATGTACAGTATTTGAAAAATAATGTGTTTTTTGAACATTAAAGCATGTCAACATATTCTGTTACACCTAATACACAAAATAATGATCTTTAAAAAAGCATCATATGACCCCTTTAACTAGTAGTTCTGTTCTGTCCAGTAGGTGTAATATAAAGGTGTTTTTCACCACGGTCACTCGTGTAAATCACTGATCAGTGTGTGAACAGAACACACACTCACACACTCACTCACTCACTCACTCACACACACACATACACACTCACACACACACACTCACACACACACACACTCACACTATTTACACCAGGAGAACCTGAAGGAGAGCATGGAGGACGTTAGGGTTTTACTATAGTACAGGTCCCAGAAGTCCTCAGTCTGTCCTAAAAACGAATGCAGTGACCCACATCAGCCCGTCTAAAGTTACCCACAAACACCAGCGCCACAAACCAGTTTAACCTCAAAAACAGCCTCTCTGACACAGAAAAACACTGAAGGCTTCAGGAAACCGTGTGGTTCTGGTAATCTGGATCATCTACAGTGTAATATTTCCAGTGTAATATGCGGTGAGCTTATTTAAAGCCTGAACACACACTCAACACATGCTTTATAATCACACGCATAACATACGAGCTTCAGAAGATCAGTGTTATACAGTCAAAGCTGCTGGAGATGTTATTGTAGTGATCCACTAGTGCAAATCACTTACACAAACAATAACGTTCACTAAATCTCATTCATCTTCATTTATGTCTTGAGGATTTCTCAAAATACCTTGGAATAATTCGTTTCAATTTACTAAGCAGCCAATCATATCCATCATTTTACAGGAAAATAAATACGAATGGTGACTTTATAGTTTAATTAATAACCTATTAATTCAATTAACAAAAAAAAAAAATTTAATTAATAACCTATTCAGCTGAACCGCTGGCCACAAAAGTGAGTACACCCCTAAATGAAAATGTCCAAACTGGGCCCAATTAGCCATTTTCTCTCCCCGCCCCGGTGTCATGTGACTCAGTGTTACAAGGTCTCAGGTGTGAATGGGGAGCAGGTGTGTTAAATTTGGTGTTATCGCTCTCACTCTCTCATACTGGTCACTGGAAGTTCAACATGGCTGCATGAGTGCTGCCGGCACTGGGGAGCTACAGTTCATTGAGGGAACCATGAATGCCAACATGTACTGTGACATACTGAAGCAGAGCATGATCCC